AAAGATAAGACAAAGAAGAAATCTTTTGATTTTTTTTTCAAAAATGTTACCTAATGTTTTGTTTATACTCTAAATTGATTTCTTACTAATGTTATATGATATTAAGCGAATATGTAATACTGAAATTTGATTCTTTATATTTTTTCAACATTGCTTTCAACTCTACTAAATATTTTCAAAACGCTTCACATTCTAATCTCTCTTCGAGTATTAACAATGACGCGATAGTTTTCGGTTAATGAGAGAACGGATCTCTAGCATGAGTGTGAGCAATACTACGGTCAGTTCTAAATTGTTATTGCTGCTGGGCACAGGAAAAAGGCACTCGCGAATGCTATTTATGGCCGCTATAAATCAAACGGCGCCGAAGAGCGCGTGGCCGCCGCCGCAACGCGACGCGACGTGACGCGACGCGAGAGGCGCGAAATATATCCATGTACATTTGCTAACTCATCGAGATCCTCTCTCACACTCACGCATTTAGACCCGTCGCGCCCTGGAACTTCAAGAAGGGGCCCTTGACATTCCGGGATCGAAATCGAAGATCTCCCGACCCTAATTTCTAAATCACATCGATCGGAATTGCAAATGAAATTCCGAGACTGAGATCCATTACGAAATATTTTTTCATAATCATGATACATTCACGGAAATTATATAATTGAAAATATCATCGGGAATTATATATTTACATTGTGTTGTTGTATCGATAAAAAAATCAAAATTTATGAAATTGCAAATGTCGATGCAAATATTCGCAAAAACATTGATAACAATTATTTGAGAGTATTTAATTGCAATGAAATATATTTAATGATATATATTTCAATGAATAATACCAGCTAATACATTGATTAGTTTTATATGAAGCTCGAATATCGCGTGATATATCGAGAACACCCGGTATATTTTCGCCGAAATTCCGCGACTGCGGGTTTCCTCGCACATCTCGCCAGACTGCATTCCGCTCTTTGTGTCCCTCTTTTCTCGCAGACAGTGCCAAGCTTCTTTCTTTCGCGGTCGACGCTTTCGCGGTCGATGCTGATTTACGATGGTTGAGTTAAGCGGTTTTCGCAAGGATACCCTAACAAAGTGACTTCGTCGAGATGATTGTTCCCAATGAAGCAGAAATAAAGGAAATTCTTTTTAAAATTTTTCTTAAACGGATTTCTTCTAGAATTTTTTCTGCGAAACTTTTCAATCGAAATCATTGAAGTTTTGAAATATTGGAAGATATGAAAAGAAAAAATTCTTTAAGTAAATATTCTTTAGGAAACGTTCGTGGATTTTGCAAAATTCTGATCAAAGATTATTTGATCAGTAATATAACTGATAAATATAATTGTGTTAATTATTTCTTTTTTACTAATACAATTACTAAAATTGATGCCACAACAAAAGAATTGCAAGTTAAGTCACATAACTCCTTTCTGGTCAATGAAAGATAGCAGGAAAATATAATGAGATTGCGAGTTCCTTGATGATTCTCTCAGATTGTCTTTTCGTAAACTTTCTGTCAAATGGCTTTTTGCAAAACACTTTGACAAATGCATTTTAGATCAGGGAGATAGGAAAGGGAGAGAGTTTCTTACATAACATCACTGCGACTAACAAAAAGCATCGTCTCTTTGCCATCGTCATTCTGGGAATCGAGTCTATCTATCTATCGTTGTCCTACTTTATTGCATTGGGGTTATACTCTTAATCTAGATAGAAAAGTCTATTATTTTTGCATAATGTAAGCTTCTCGGAATTACGGTATTAATTAGAACATTTTCTTAGCCTTTTCGATGTCAGTATTTTTCCTTTTAATTTCTTCGAACACGTACATAAATCTTTATTAATCTTATCTATTTCTCATATATCAAATCTCTAACATATTATTCTTTCAACGAGAGAATATATATATTTTTACATTGTATTTCCCTGTTCATGTATGAGAGTATATTAGCCTTATCTTGTATTTTCTTCATTAATTTATTATTTTCTAAATTAATATTTAATTGCAATAAAATATATTTTACTTTAGCCTGTTTCACATTATTTAAATTTTAGATCAGTTTTTTATCGCTCCTATCTAACTTATTAAATTTTATCATTGTACCTAATCAAAGCCTATCGAATTCTTTTCCAACAGAATAATTTCAAAATAATTTAACTTTGAGCGTTCTCATGCAGATGATAAACAAAGGAGACGTCACAGCGAAATTTTACGCCACGCTGCCATTTAAATCTCCGTACTCGCGGGTCCCTTTAACTCGTCGGCGATCACGTGCGCGCACGATTCGTAAGTTCGCGGCGGCGGCGTCGCATGAGTCACGTGACGCGGCGCCACGTGATCAACGATGTCGCTACCGCACGCGCGGTTCCGTCCTTCCTCAGTGCGAGCGCGACTGGCGCGCGCGATGTTTGTTGGTTGTGGGGTTTGTGCCGCTGCTCTTTGTGCCAATCGTCGTCGCCGTCGCCGTCGTCGGCACGCCGAAACGCCACGTACTATCCGTTCGCGCGACTTCGATTCTTCCACCGTTAACTCGTAACCGTTAACGGTAACGGGCACAGCCCGTCCTCGGAATCTCTTCTCGATCCTTCGCCGTCACGAAGACGCGTGGCCTACGTGGCGGTCGAACGCCAGCCTAGTGTCAGCTGGGTGCGCACTCCTCTCTCTTTACTTTTGTCTTTTGCCGGGTATAGCGCTTGTAGAATAGCTGGTCCTCGCCAGCTAAAACCCGAAGTTCGGACGTTTTCAAATTCGAATCGCGGCGCGAATCGATCCCAGATTGGGGTTTCCCATTATCCGTATTCCTAACGTCGCGGATTCCGAAATGACCAAATCGCGTGTCGCGTTATCACAGACAGCAGGAACGATAGCGGATATCCCCGCTTCTCCTTTTCTCCAATAGCATGCCGCGCCGATTGTCTTTGTTTGTGAACGACACATCGATTGTCCGCTCTCTCGCGCACAAAGATACACGGCCTGGTGGATTCCCCAGAATGAATGCGCAGCTTCTTCTGTGCGATCACGTTTAGGAAGTAACCTGATCTAAATTTTTATTAAATTTATCAATTGAATTTTTTATTAATTCGTAACACTGTTCACCAATTTGCAATTCTTTTTCCTTAGATTTAAATTGTTAAGTATGCGCTCCAAAGTTTAAAAAATTTTCTTTGATATTTATTCTTCGACAGTACTCGAGATCTAGTTAGGACTAGTTTCGATTGGAAAGAATTACGATGCTTGACTTAAAGACGTGCCACTTGTTTTTGGAGCACTTTAATTCGCCGAACATTCGTGCTTGATTCTTCCAAACCTCCTATGCATTTCATAAATACCGAGCAGCCTCTTTATTATTTATAAAGCTAAAATATACACGTAAAATTTAGCATGATAACATTTTGGAAAATGTAAGGATATTTATTCTTTTTCCGCATTTCGCTTAAAAGAGAGATTAAGACTTTCTTTCGCGCGATGGTTTCTTAGTGATTTCGCAGAGAGATGTTGAAAGAATTAAATCTACTCCAGCTTGACCAATTAATGTATTGTGTGCATCGCGTTTATTTTGATCCCTTCCGAGAAATAAATCGCACGATATCAAACGTTATTGGCCGAAAGATGCCGGATATTGTGTCGCGTGCATTGTACGCGTATTGCACGCGCCCGAGTTCTCTGCGCCCACGCCTATGCAAATCCCGCGGAATTATCGAAAGAATGGACGGAATGCAACGTATCGCCCATCCACACACGTCTCGCGATAGTTGCACTTGTGCCGATTGTATAGTTACATTCATGCAAAAACGAGTTCTCCGAATGCAACAACTGCATGCACACTAGGCCGATGCATTTTGGTACATTTGATGCAGCTGCGTGAACAATCGAAAGAGTTATCTTTGTGTTACGACACAAATTAGAAGTAATCAATATAGCCTATTGCTAAATAAGTAATAAAAATAAAATTTAGTTGAATGCATGAAATGTACTTGCCTGAGAGAGGAGTATGTAATATTTGAATGAGATTCACTTCCTTAAAATATTATATATCATATATTACTCTTGCGTTCCAAGAAATACGAATGTTACACGACTGCAATATTGCCGACTATATTGTTTACATTGCAAAATTATCTATATATTGTATAACTGTATACATAAGGATATAACTGTTTTGAAATTGTAAAATTTAAATTTAAATAATTGTCAAGTCGAAATATTTTTGTCGCCATTTTTAGCGTCTATTACTTTTTATTATTTAATTTATACAAAAACTTAATACTGCCAAAAAAAAGAGTAAAAAAATAGCATTCTTATTTATATAATATCATTTTTGCATGTCACATTTACATTTGTTTACAGGTCTACGTATATTAATTGTCAATGGCATCCTTTGCTAGATTTTTCAGAACGATTTTGAATTACGTAATTGCACGCAGGCGCTGCACAATGGCGAAGTATAATTGTCAGACGAGTTTTATCGAACGTTTTTATCGACCTCGAGCGGCCTCGAGCGATTCTCGATGGCATTTCCGTCAACGAGCTTAGTATTCTGTCGTATATAGATGGAGAATACGCGAGACTAGAAAGCTCGATCACCTTTCGGAATCGGAGCGGAATTTGCTAGAGAGATCCGGGTTCGATCGCGCGTTTCTTGATCGCGACGAGCTTTTTATCAACGAACGAACGCGTGGGCCCGTTTTTCCATATTTCGCTCGTTTATGCATTTGTGCGCGTACTTTCGTGTAGTACGACACGAACTCGCTGCGACTCGAGTCCCGCCAAGCTCGAGTTGCCAATTATTTCCCAGGGCCTATTATTAGGCCCTTGCAGTCGGCGAATGCCGCGCCGGACTTAATTAACGCGCAATTAAAACATCCGGGCGCGATCGTCAATATATTTTTCTTATAAATAAATGCGCGCGCGCGAGTATAATTTTATTAATAGTAAGTAATAAGTAGCTTTAATATTTCGATTCCGTGTGATTTAATTTGACGATACGCCTGTTGCGTAGATGTCGGAGTTCCCAGCGGAGGGAGGCGAAAACGGAGACATGCAGACCGTCATGGAGAACTTCCAGAAGAAAAACAACCTAGTGACCGGGAGGACGCATCACGTCACCCATCATCCGCAGGTCACCACCACATCGTCGCAGGTAATTATCTTTGATGTGGACTGTTCTTTCTTTTTTATCAAATATTTGCGTATGCTTCTTGACGTCACGATTCTTTGAAAAATAGAAACAATACGTCATTTGTATTTTTGTGAAAAGCCGACACATGTCTTCGCGCGATACGTTCCGAATATTTACCGGTAATTGACGCACGTGAGAAGTACGGCTTTTTCATTCGAAACGAATTCGAAAACGTGTCTACCGACACGTGCAAATTCCCGGAAGACAGATCTCGTTACAAAGGAAACTAGTAAAGAAGAAGAAATTGCGATCTAAAGATACGATTTGAAATTCTGAATTAAATTTCAATCGCGACCTTTGTAGCTTCGCACGGCATAATTTTCCATTATGCAATACCGAATTAATTGTTAAACGCGTTAAATCCGTTGTATTGAATTAATCTGTATCCAGTAAATTGATTGCACTAACCTCGAGTAAATCGAATCCTTTACGGGCAAAATGGTATATTTTTAATAGTCTTTACGGATACTCGGCAGAAACGAGTCGCGACGTGTTGCAATATTTATTTAGCCTCGCTGTTTCGAGGAAAAATATGATCGTCACCTTTTTCGCGATCGTTTCTACTAATTCGAGGATTACGCGCGAAGATTTACGCGGCCTTTAATCTGTCTTCTTTTCCGATCTTCTCCACGTCGGCCAGATGAGGTGTCGCGGCGCCTCCGACGCCCACATATGAGACGAATTTCCTGAAAGTAGACACGAAAATTTGGTATTATTCATTCGTCATGCTTCTATATCGCTAAAACCGCCTAAAATAATAATCACCGTCATTGCCCGCGCGAGTCAACCGATTCGCCTGACTGGCTTTCCATTCACATTCTTGTCGAATTTATCTTTCCGTTTTGCTGCTCTATCTTTAGGAACGCGATTATTAATTAAAAGTGACTTGGTGAAAAATTAAACTTGCGAAATCTTTATTAAACTTTTAAGATGACAAAGATTGCTCGATGCTGCACAATTTTAACGATACAAAGATAATGATATAAAATATTTATTAATATTGCCATTTCTATCAAAATTTCTTGGAAACATGAGGATTAATGACAATTCATTAAAAGTCACAAAAAAATATAACATAAATACACTTGTTTACCTAGATTTTTTTAGTTTAATCGTTTTAATTAAATTGTTTTTTATGTGTGTATATGTTTAGTTAAATCTTTTTTTATGTGTGTCGCATCGGATTCAAATGCAAGGCGGCTTTTAATCAGATTTGAAAACCGGATAACGTATTTGGCTAAACTGGTATGCATATGAATCTTCATGCCGATGACGTGTGACACATGTCGCGAACAGAGTGGCTGCGCATCTCACGAGCGAAACCACTTGTCGGACCATCTCCGATCATCGAGCAATCAGAAACGATCGCTCGAACGACCGTAGGCACTTACTACGCAATGCGGCCGCCCACATGCATATTTTTCCACTGAAGGTTAATTCCGCGCAATCTTGGTGAACCTTGGTACCGCGTTTCAAGGTTCCTCCTCTCGTCTTTCGAGAGAACGTTGCCTCTTTCTAAATTTACCGGGCCCTTTTTCGTCTTCAGGCTTGGTCGAGTCATCTCGTACCTCGTAATGACTACTGGCCGACCGCCAGCAGTCATTGCTGTGGTGCTATTGCGGATGCTGTTTACATTTTTCCCTTTTTCCCTTTTCCCATTTAACCCTTTTTCTTGTTTGCTCTTTCGAAAAATTATTCGAACGCTATTTAAAGATATGTAATGAATAAAAGTTCTTTAAAAATAATATTAGATATTACTTTTTACTAAGTAAAAATTAATTTAATTTTTAATTTTAATTTAATTTACTTTAATTTAACTTAATTTTTTAACTGTGATTTTAATAACTTATTTGATATTCAAATTTATTTTTTAAATTTCAATTAAAATATCTTGTCTTATAATTAGTTAATTACTTATTCATTTCAATTAATTTAAATGTAAGAGAGAGGAGCGAGGGAAAAACTGATTAATTGCCTACGATAGAGAATTAAAATCTAAAATTAAAATCTAAAAATTTTTTAAAAGCAAATAATCTGTTACACATTTAGTAAAATTCACATTTATAAAATTCTAATAGAAAAAAACAGGAAAGAGAAAAAGAGATAGACATAGAATTGAGGAGAGGCCCGAAGCGAATGAGTCATCTTATGCGGATCTTAAATAGAACGAAAACGGCTTTTGACTCGACAGATGCTGACGACAAATCAGAGCCAACACCAGAGTAGCAGCAGCACTAGTAGTAGTAGCAGCAGCAGCAGCACAAGCAGCAGGGTGGCCAAGTCCTCGCAGAGGATCCTCACTTCGTCTTCGTCGAGTGAGATGAAGGCGAGCTCCATGAAGAGCGATCTGACAGAACTCAAGCGTGGCATCTCAGAAATGAAAAATATTTCGACCAACTTCTCGCAGCGGTTGCGCAGCAGCATGGAGAACCTCGTGGACAGGTCGGTTCATTCTCGAATGGCTATACCTCCAAGGGTAGATTTAATCAAAGGGGCAAATTGGATTCTTGACAGATAAATCCAAACTTTGAACTGTGAACTTTAGAACAATTCTTTGCGATTATTGATAAATTTAATATGATGAAGAAGTATTTATTACGAAAAAAATCTGATATTTCAAAAGAGTTTGAATATACGTGATACATTAGTGTTTCGTGAAAACGACGCGCGAGGTTGTGAGTGTGTTCTTTTCTCATAGAAATGATTAGTATTTTTAGAGTATCTCCGAGTTTGCCAGCGTGACGAGTCTAATGTCATCATTGCAATGTATTTTTTGGCTGTTTTGACGTAATAGTTTTAAAATTATCTGCTTTTGGTATATAATAATTTATAAATATGTCTTTATTTTTTAGACTAGATTATATAATGAACTATTATTTTGAAATTTTATTTTTTTTATATTTCAGACTTGAAAGTGTCAAAGATAATATTTTTAATATGAAAATGAAACCTTAAAATAAGTTAATTTTTGAAAATTTTTGAAATTTTTGAAAATTTCTTTCTACAAATTAAAGATTCAAAAGATTTAGTGATTTAAACTGTTAGTAATACTTGAAAAAATTATCAATTTTATATTTCAATAAAAATTTGCAAATTTGCAAATTTCTCGATTTTTTAATTACTTTTACTTTTTTCATTTTTAGTTATTAGTTCAATGATTCATTCCGTTCAGTTTCTAAAAATTCAGACGCACGTTTAGACTTTGCAACTAAGCTTTCCTAACTGAAAGCTCTGAAGCGTGTCAACGATGAATATTTGTATACGCATAATTTCGATTCACATGCTATTTTCGCGGCAGTCGGATTATTTTTAACGCATTGCTCACTCATGCTGTTTTATATTCTTCGGCATATAAGATAATCTTCCATTGCGATTATATCACAGCAAAAGATGCATAAAAAAAATGTATATAATTTTATTAATTTCTAATCTGCATAATAGCATGGAAATATTTTTATGAATTTTACGAAATATGCTATTGTATGATAAACTGGCTACACTATTTTAATGGCGAGTCATCTTTATAAGGTAATCCATTATTAATGATACAAATTGATACAAATGAGATAATAATTTTTTACGTGAGAAAAAATTATAATGTAGAATAATTTTTTTGTTTATCTTTCTTGAAAATGTTAACTTCCATAAATCAAAATGACAATGTACAATTTTTATTAAAAAAATATCGTGTGTATTAGAATTTTTTAAAA